AGTTGACCTCAGGGTCACCTGCAGCCTTAAGACTGCAAGTTGCCTGTCCCAGCCTCAGGCTATTCATTAGCAACCTAGTGTTCCTGATGCTTCTTCAAGAATCTTGTCTTCCCAAGTGGAAGCAAAGAAGTAGGAACATTTAATATTGACCGGTCAAAAGCAACTTTTGCCTTTCATCCTGGAATCTTCGGAGGATACCTGCGAGCCTTCATCCGGTGAGCATTGTTTCAACAGGTAGGAACGGCTACCAAAGGGATTCGCGTCTACATAATCAGGGACTTCCTTACATTCGTTTTTCCTGCAATATTGACCGAACAACCACTTTAATAAAAGCTGCATGATCTACGAAGAACATTTGTCAATGAATTGCATATCGAGACACCGTAATATCTGTTGGGTTCAAAGCAAGTGGAAATTTATAAGAGAGTAGGATAAGGATAAAGATAAGGATGGAAGGGGAAGGGGAAGGGGAAGGGGAAGGGGAAGGGGAAGAATAGAATAGAATAGAATAGAATAGAATAGAATAGAATAGAGGAGAGGAGAGGAGAGGAGAGGAGAGGAGAGGAGAGGAGAGGAGAGGAGAAGAGAAGAGAAGAGAAGAGAAGAGAAGAGAAGAGAAGAGAAGAAGAAGAGAAGAGAAGAGAGAAGAGAAGAGAAGAGAAGAGAAGGAAGAGACACCAAGAGAGGAATCTGGGACAAGACATGGGTTCTGGGATTCTGTGAAAGGTCCTTCCCCCCACATCCCTAATACTTGCTCATTCATAATTTACTTCAGTTTCTCCCATTCCCCCTCTGCTGTTACAACATAGGAGACAAAGACAGAGAGAGAGAGAGAAAGAGAGAAACAGAGAGAGAGAGAAAGAGAGAAACACAGAGAGAAAGAAAAACAGAGATAAAAAGTCAGAGAAAGACAGAGAGAGAGTGAAACAGAGCAAAACAGAGAGAGAGAGGGAGAGGGAGAGAGAGAGAATAAGAGAAACAGAAAGACAGAGAGAGCGAAACAGAGAAAGCGAGCGAGAGAGAGAAAGAGAGAGAAATTTCTTCTCCACAGGAAGTACGAAAGAAAGTTCCTCTTCATGCAAAATTAATGCATGGATTTGTTACCAGAAAAGGCAGCGAGGCCTTTTAAAAAGGAATTAGAAAAAAAAAAAGAGATGACTGTTGATGGCAATTAAGTAATTAAGATTTTGTGGAGCCTCCAGACTGAAAGAACTGCTATTCAACCAGATTCTTTTTATCAGTGGTTTCTTGGCCCTGATGGGAAGCGGAGATGGAGACCAATGGACAATCTATGGATGGTCAAAGGACCTTCCTGGATTTCTGAAGTGTCAACCCTGAAACTGACCTGACCGAAGCCATCTTGGAGTTTCAGTGTTGCCACACTGGAGCTGAGGGATAGGGAAGGGGGAGTAGAGATAGCTGGGGGTTTGTGTAGCCAAAACAAAATACTTTCTCTTGGGAACCAAGGACATTCTCACACCTGGCCGGAGGAAGGAGGAGGAATGTTACCGGGCAACCAGACAGCACCTTGATTGGACCGTGTGACTGATTGTTTGGGGAAGGGAAAAAACTTTTACTTTTAACTAGGTGAAAACCATGGGAACATTCAGAGTCGGTTTTCACCGCTTGTGCCAATATAATATATCCAATAAAACTATTCTTTTAAGGAATCTACCTGCCTCGGAGTTTTGTTTGGCATGGGTATGTTACTTGGAACCCTGGACATTAAACCAACTCTTAACCTTCTGACATGAAGGTTGAGAAAGGGTAGATCTGCATCACAGATGTGGGTGGGGAAGAATCCGGCGGCCTTCGTTTTGCTTCTTCTTAAAACTGCGATACAGGTAGTCCTCGACTTACGACAGTTCATTCAGAGACCATTCAGTTACAATGGCACTCTGAAAAAAAAGGATTTATGACCGTCATTCACGTTTGGGACCTGTTGCATGGCCACCTGATTTACATCCGGATGCTTGACGATGCTCCCATTCCTTACTAGCACTGATAATGTTACCTAGCTTGAGTGACAAAACGTCTGGAAGAAAACAGCCAAGCTCAGAGAGTACCAAGGACTCCTTGTTTGAGCCTCCAAGCTACAAATATTCTCCTTTCTAGGTTTGGTTGTTATCTTTAAAAACACAGGAAGGCCATTTTCCTTGGGAACCATCAGTTTTTAATTGCCCCGTCTTCTGAAGGTCTCCAGAGATGGTGCTTTCGTTTCTTTCTTTATTTTTTGATAGGATTGAGAATGAAGTGCAGAACAGTTTGCCTTGTTCTTGGCAAGGGGCGGAAAATTATGCTACTGAAAATAGATGGTTTTGCTGCTGCATTTTGACATCTCGTGGTCGTATTTGAACTGTAGAAAAATTTATTCCAAGGCAAATGGTCCTTTCTCTGTTAAAAAAACTTTTGTATAGTTATTTCCAAGGTTAAAAATATATGTATTTTCTCCAAGGCTGGGAATCCTTTCCTTGATAATATCCTTTCACAAAGATTACTATTTTGGCGCATGGCTGCAAATTAGCGGAGTTTCTCCATTCCGTGTTTTTTTGTTTTTTGTTTTGGTACTTTTTTGTAACTTCCATCTGTATTTGTTACCTGCTCTTTTGCATCGCTTCGAACTAAAAATAAAGCCGTACCATTTAAGATGGCTGCAAGCCGTAAATAAATAAATAAGGCCTCTTCTTTGTTGCTTTAAACACAAGCTCACCTATCATTGTACTGTGACTGTCGGCAAAGAAGCATTAGGCCTTTTGGTCCACTCTTTTATTTCTCCAGAAAAATAAATTCCAAGGAAAAGCAACTTTTTCCCAGGTAACTTGCGCCCCCTTCTGGTGAAACACAAAGCTTCCTAGCTGACAGAAATTCAAGAGACAAGGATTAATTACTATTTTGGTTGGGCATTGTCTGCAAATTAGTGGAGTTTATCAGTTCAGGACAAGAAGCAATGGATGGAAGTTAATCAAGGAGAGAAGCAACCTAGAACTAAGGAGAAATTTCCTGACGGTTAGAAGAATGAATCAGTGGAACAACTTGCCTCTAGAAGTTGTGTTTATTTATCAAACATATAGAGCCGCCCATCTCACGAAGCAAGGGACTCCTTGCAAGCCGTATACAATGAAGCTAAAATAATAATAATACACAAATTGTAGGACTGTGTTGGGCAGTTATTTATTCAGCTGCTTCCAGGTATGAGAACAGTCAATTGCATGAGTCCTGCCTTTTGAGGCACCCGTTTCAAAGTAATGGAACAGGCAGAAAATTCCAGGATAGGTACAGAAATTGTGATTCTGCTATGCTTGTATATGTGCAATTTTTAGATCTGCTTTTATGTGCGATTCTTTTAATTATGTTAATGGCTTTTGGGGTTTACTTTTAAATAGATTATCTCTAGCTTTGGGGCTGTCCTTTTGTCATTTTATTATTACCCCTCCTGTTAACAGGGGATGTTACTTTTAAGGTTGGAAAAGCAACCTAGAAATATTTCATGGCATGCTGTTATTTAATATTTTTGTTAAAAAGCGCTTCAAGGTAAAGGTAAAGGTTCCCCTCGCACATATGTGCTAGTCGTTCCTGACTCTAGGGGGCGGTGCTCATCTGTTTCAAAGCCGAAGAGCCAGCGCTGTCCGAAGACGTCTCCGTGGTCATGTGGCCAGCATGACTCAACGCGCATGGAACGCCGTTCCCTTCCCACCAAAGGTGGTCCCTATTTTTTGTACTTGCATTTTTTACGTGCTTTCAAACTGCTAGGTTGGCAGAAGCTGGGACAAGTCACGGGAGCTCACCCCGTTACGCGGCACTAGGGATTTGAAGCGCATCAAAGAAGACAGCAAAAAACAGTAACTTGGATAACTAAACTGATGCCCCAATCTGTTCAGGTAGTCCTCAACTTACAACAGTTCATTTAGCACAGAGGTGTCAAACTCAAGGCCTGGGGACTGGATCCGGCCTGTGGGGTGGTTAGATTTGGCCCGCAGGGCCGCCCTGGAAACAGCAAAGGACCGGCCTGTGGTGCCTCTGCCAGTGAAAATGGAGCTTGGGAAGGCCATGCTCAGCCTGCCTGGGCTCAGTTTTCGGACACGACGGCCTCCTGCAGCCTTCTGCGGGCGAAAATGGAGTTTGGGGAGGCCGCGTGCCAGCAAAAACAGGGCCTCGACGAGTGACATTGAGCTGGGCACGCCCCCCCCTGCCCCCCCCAGGTCAAACACAACCTTGATGGGGCCCTCGAATTTAATCGAGTTTGACACCCCTGATTTAGTGGCTGTTCAAAGTTGCAACTGCACAGATCGAAGTGATTTATGACCGTTTTTTAGACTTACGACCATTGCAGCATCCTCAGGGTCACACGATCAAAATTCAGACGATTGGCAACTGGCATGTTATTTATTTTTGCAGTGTCCCGGGGTCACGTGATCCCCTCTTGCGACCCTTTGACGACAACAGTCAATGGAAAAGCCAAGATCCATTTAATAACCGTGTTACTTAACAACTGCAGAAAGGTCATAAAATGGGGCAAAACTCACTTAACCAATGTCTCTCTTAGCAACAGAAATTTTGGGCTCAATTATGGTCGTAAGTCGAAGACTACCTGTGACATAAGGAAATAGTGGAATTTAGAACAACTTTGGGAAGTGCACCCTTACCTATAAATCTGCGTAAGAACCACTCCATCTTATTTAAGCACAACGGAAAGTGTAAAAATAAGTTATTGTTGTTCTCCTATACAACAATAAATCACCGAGATGATTTGGACTATTTAAATTGGGGCAGTTAGGAAGGATCCAAAAGGGTATCGGCTTGATCTGAGAAGCAACTCAAGGAACAAATTTGGAACATAATGTTATGCACATAGCTTGCTTATGTAGGGCTTAATGTGCAGTCTTGGCCTTGTGTGTGTTGTGTAGTATTTAACGATGGCACAGTCAACAAAAAGCGTTACAACAGATAGCTAAACAATCATTGTTACTTAAACGATGTGTGAATCAAAAAGAAGGGGGACCTGTGGAAATAAGTAATTTATTTTGAACAACATTGATTTTAGAGAAGAGGTCAACATTAGGGAATCTACAATATCCATTGTCTACAAACATTTATGTTGTGTTAAGTAAAAAAAAAAAAAAAATTTGTTCTTAGGAATGTGTACAACAGAAAATAAGATGCATTTAATGTGGCCGGGAGTGGTAACATACATTTGTCAAACTCGGCTATATCTTAAAAGAGAAATGCTGCCATCTAGGACAATTCTTTATTTAATTCCTTATTAGTTCAGGCATCATCTCTGAGTTCAGGAACTTTGGTTTAAAGGCCCATGGACGACGGGTGGATGTTGGCCGAGCAGCTGGGGAAAAAAAAGAACAGCAAGATTGATACTTCTTCCCATGTTTAGCTCACAAGGTCCTTCAAGCAGGAGCTGGCTGGCTTTAGGGGGTGGTGCTCTTAAGCTTCTTTGAAAGGGCGCTCATCAAGAGACGAAAAGAAATATATATTATTTTGGCTTATTATTGCAGGATAAAACGACCCTTCGTTTTCTGCATCTCTGTTCTTCCTCTAGCCCACAGAGCATCCTTATTTATTCATAATCCAACTTTTGTTATTTTTATAAATAACCATTTTTCCCCAAAAATAAGATCGGGTTTTATATTAATTTTTGCTCCAAAAGACGCATTAGGGCTTATTTTCTGTTTAGGTATTACCTGGGGCTTATTTTAGGGGTAGGGCCTATATTACAAGCATCCTGAAAAATCATGCTAGAACTTATTTTTTGATTGGGTCTTATTTTCGAGGAAACAGGATAACGCAAGATAACGAACATATATTCTTCCTATTTTCCCTGTAACAACCTCCCTGTGAGGTCAATGGCACTGAGAGAGTGACTGACCCAGTCATCCAACCGGCTTTCCTACCTAAGGAAAGTGAGGACTAGAACTCACAGTCTCCTGGGGATTGGCCCAAAGTCATCCAGCCAGCTTTCCTGCCTAAGGCAGGACTAGAACTCACAGTCTCCTGGGGATTGTCCCAAAGTCACCCAAGCCAGCTTTCCTGCTGAACTCACAGTCTCATTTCAACTGGGGCAAGATGCAAAGATGGGAAGTTTATTGGCTAACCAGGCTCCTCCTATTAGCTACGCCACAATGGGATGTACCGTCTGAATCCAGCTTATATGTATTATTATTATTATAATCAGAGCTTATTGCTTAGCCTGATGGCGAACCCAGGCATTAAGGCGGATTCAACCAACCTTGACGAAGTTCGGGTGTGAATCCAGCCACACAGTTGAAGACAGTCTCACCTGGGAAGTCTGCAGGGGAGGTGAGGAATGACAACTAAAACTACTAGGAGTTGGACGAGTGAGGCATTCAAAAACACTGGCAAATGAGGGAGGTTTTAGGGGATGGTGGGGTTTTTTTTTTAATTGCTAAGGGACAGCTACTTGGCATTCAGAAGCCTTCTTAGCCAAATGACGGACAGCGAAATACAGGTGCAGCCTGCTGCCCCTTGTTGCTACGTAGTTCCAGACCGACAGGAATGGAGGAAACAGCCACTAATTGGGGGACGGACAGACGGACAGCAATACTATCTTCTTTCAGACTTAGGCACGAAGCATCACCCAGATTTGCCTGGCTCTCACCTGTAGGTAGGTGTGGGTAGTAGGCCAGGTCTGCTCCCGAGCAGTGGCCGCTTTGCGGGGAGATGTGGAGGAGTTAGGTGCATCGGTCTTTTGATGATCTTTGTGAGAAGAGGAGGTGGTTTCCCCTTCGGGCCAGCCGGCACTACTATGAAGGAAAAACAGAAAACAGGATTTTGATACAGTGGTACCTCAGTACTCTGTCAACTCTGTAGTTGGCTTGACCGACGCCATCTTTGAGGCTTCAGTGTTGCCACAACAGAGATGAGGGTTAGGGAGGGAGAAATAGAGATAGCTGGGGGTTTGCAGCCAAAACAAAACACTTTCCCCTGGGAACCAAGGACATTCCAGCAGGTGGCTGAAGAGAGGAGTAGTAGTGATGTTACCAAGCAGCTGGAGAGCACCCTGATTGGATCATGTGACTGTTTGTTTGGGAAAAGAGGAAAACTTTTAATTAGGTGAAAACCACGGGAACCTTTAGTCGGTTTTCACCAGCCTGTGCCAAGACGATAGATCCAATGAAACTGTTTTTTGAAGACTCTACCTGCCTCAGAGTTCTGTTTGTTATGGGTGTATTACTTGGAACCCTGACATATTCATTGTTAACTTGTTCTACCTCAGTACTCATTGTTAACTGCTTCTGGGAGCTGCGATGAGTACCAAATGAATGTTTCCCATAAGGAATAATATAGTGAGCCACAAGGCAGCCGACATTGACAAGTTCGAGCTTGAGGACCAAGACAAAATGTGTGCATCGGAATTCCTTGAATACCAAATGCGACGCCTTGCAAAACAGCAGAGTACTAAGGTACCACTGTAGTTAGCAGTATCGACATACCAGATGCAGTACAAACTTATATTCAAAAGGTAGGGTATATATGCTTTCCGAAGGGGGGGGGAAACTTTTGGATCCAGAGACAATAAAAGCAGACCGGCGAATAAAGGAATTATTATTATTATTAACTCAAGCAAACAAATTTAAAAGCCCAACACAGAAAGCACAGATACCAAGCAAGATGATACTCAAATCTCTTAACAAGCTGTCAGGAGCTCCTTAAAAATAATAGTAAAGATAGCCCAAGGATGGATATATTTAGAAGCTGCCCACTGTCAGCAATGATACCAAGGTTTTTAGCAAAACTTTTGACCCCAGGACTTCATGCTTATAGTCAGGAGACAGCAAGACCTGGCCTGGACTAGCTGGCATAAGACTCTGGAATGGGAACCCAAAGTCTGAGATTCTCACAGATTGGCAACTATTTCAAGATTTCTTCCCGCCTTCTCCTTTATTTCTTTTATTTATCCCACTTTTTAAAAATTATTTTTACAAATAACACAAGGCGGCGAACATATCCAACACGCCTTCTTCCTCTTCCTACTCTCACCACAGCAACCACCCTGTGAGATAGATTGAGTGAGAACGAGTGACAGGCCCCAAATCACCCAGCTGGCTTTCATGCCTAAGAAGGGACTAGAACTCCCAGTCTCCTGCTTTCTAGCCCAGGTAGGTCTTAACCATTATTTAGCAAACAAAAGTGGGAAACAAGGAATTTTTTGCTCTACACATTTACATTTTTTTTAGTAGAAAGGAGAATGGAGTGGAATAATTAGAATTAGAATAGAATCATGGAAGGGAAGAGAATAATAGAATAGCATAATAGAGTAGAGTAGAATCATGGAATGGAATAGAATAGTAGAGTAGCAGAGTAGAGTAGTAGAGTCGTAGAGTAGAGTAGAATCATAGAGTAGAGTAGAGTAGAGTAGAGTAGAGTAGAGTAGAGTAGAGTAGAGTAGAGTGGAGTAGAGTGGAGTAGAGTGGAATAGAATAGAATAGAATAGAATAGAATAGAATAGAATAGAATAGACAGAGCAGAGCAGAGCAGAGCAGAGCAGAATCATGGAATAGAATAGCAGAGTAGAGTGCAGTAGAGCAGAACAGAACAATTCTTTATTGGCCAAGTGCAATTGGAAACATAAGGAATTTGTCTCCGCTGCGTAAACTCTCAGCATGCATACAAACAACAAAGTGAAAAATCATAAGGCATGAATAGGAGAAGGCAATAGGAAAGCTGAGAAGGATAATAGTAATACAGCCTTACTACAAGGGTTAATATCCTTAGGATAAGGATATTTAACTGGATAAATCCAAATAGGTCACTAAACTCTTGAAACAAGAGTGGTTTTCCATGCAGCCACTACAATGTTGTATTTTGAAGGACCAACCTGGAGTGGGGAGAAGAGCCCCCAACGGTCTCTTGCCCAACAAAGCTGGCTTAGGCGAGGGCACAGCAGACTGCCCAAACACAGGAGTTCGACCAGGGGTTGGCAGAAGAGGTGGTGGCTTGCTCAGCGTTGGAGGGAGAGCACTCCCGCTCGGCCTGGCGTTCGGATACTCGCCGTCTTCACCTGCGGCGGCTAAAGTGTTCGCTTCTGCAACAAAACCTGGATTAGGAGGACCCAAAGTTAGCAAGGAAACAAATCGCTTAGCCAGACGTGCCACTAGCCAAGAAGTCAGCCTGGCTGCTTATTTTAATGTCCTTCTTTTTTTCAGCCAGTCCATTTACGCAGGGATAATAAGGCTTAGGAAATTTTTAAGGATGTGAGGTGGGAAAAGTCATTTTTATAAGAGTCACGGAAGTGATTTGAAGTAGTAAATTGGTAGGGTTATTGGCTTTTATAATAGAAAGCAGTTAGGGAGGGTGTCTTTTTTTTTCGCGAGTGTTACACAGGTTTTTTTTCACTTGCTCTAATTATACTTTGTAACGGCCTTGTGAAATGTGACTTATCGGACAGCAGTACAGAGGCGAAGGGGGGAGGGCGGTTACTCTTTTATTACGACAGCCGGATATCTGGATGGGGGGGTGACAAATTTGGGGCTCATTGGTAGGGTGCTTCGTAGTCTCCTAAAGTGGGGAAGAGGCTCTCCAACCTGAGCCACAGTAGAATGGACTATGTTTTTGCCCTTTTTATCATTAAGAGCCATATATCTCATGCACTCAGGACAAGGTGGCATTTCTCCCAACGCCCCGCGAATAGGGATGACAAGTTCCCTACTCACCTGGAGGGGACTTTTATTTGAAAGCGCAAAGAAAGGACAAACGTTAAGGAATCTGGGATAAGGATGAGCTGGGGGACAGATGCAGACCACTTCGTGGAATCCATCTTAAGTAGACACCCCACTTCCTAGAGAGAGAGCTGTTACCCACAAATAACAGGTGATCAAGCTGCAGCCCCTTCTCGAGAAAGTCTCATTTTTAACCATGTTAAGAGTTCATGCACGAAGTGTGATCCTCCCACCCCCGGTTCGAGGGAGGATGGGGCGTTTTCACACTGGGTATTTTCTTATTTGAAGGCCACCCCCCCAGAGGTTATTTTGAGATTGTGGGTGGGATTTAGAGGGTATTGTCAAGGAAGAAAGGAGGGTTGGGGGATGGGGGAAGATGAATACCTTCAAGCTTATTTCTCCTGGTCTTCAGGTAGTCACTTATTGAGTTCAATTCTTCCATATATAAATGCTTTCCCTCACTTAACAGAAAGAGGAGGTGTCTAATGCCTAGAGGCACATGGTAACTCTCATAAAGCTCCCGTTCTAGAAAGCCATCCGCCAGATCAGCTGCTTTGTGGGAAATCTCTGTGCGCTGCTGTTGTTCATGCTCAGCAAAAATTTCCTCAAACTCTTTAGCTATCAGAGCCAGGGCATCTTCCATGGGCATATTACGGTGGACTACAGAGAAGAGAGACACCTTGCTTTTTAAAAAGTCACATCCAGACAAAAAAAAAAAGAAACAAAAAGACCCCAAACACAAAACTGCCGCGTCCTTCCACCATTCAGACCGCGGAGCTAAAAGCTACCTTCGGACTCAAAAAACGCCAAAACGTTTTAACTGAACGTGGTTATGCCCAAGATTCAACACAAACACGCCCGTTTCTATATGAAATGTCGTGGGTGACTCAACTCGGCGCTTGCTTTGTGTGTTGAATTAATTTTCCTAAGTGGGACTCGTTTTATAAAACCACCTCTGGAAAGAGGAATGGAGTTGAGGATGTGAGTGACATTGGAACGTTCTTTTTTAAATGCAGGAAAAATGCCTACTAAAAACGGTCTGCTTTTCCGGAAGATAAATTTTGGATGAAGTACATTTTGCTAGGTGCAGTAGCGGTGTACGGCTATGAATTCTTAAATCAATTATTTTACTGCTCTTCGGCATATTCAATCATGTCTCAAAGAGGGTAGTTTTGATGTGTTTTAATATGAGGAGAAATGGATCTAGAGAGCGCGTTTTCTGAATAGGGACCAGTTCTTAAGGTAAGCTAAACTTACTTTTGATAGTCTGATGAAGCATGATTACGGTGCATGAGGAAAGTGTTACATTAGATGGTTCAACAAGAACGCAAAATGGAGAACCATCGTTTTTAACTTCCTGGAGGGCACGTGTAAGACCTGATTCAGAAGTAAGGTATATCATTTCCACCACAAGGCCATGATCCTGCAAACGATGGCCTATGGCTGTTGAATATTCCCTTGAAGGAAAAAACAAACAAACAAAAGAAAGAAAGAAAGAAAAAAAAAAACAAAGAAGCAGGTTATTTTACAAGTAATTCAGAAAATATATTATTAGTGCCAGCGTCCTAGTAAGGGTCACTTTTTGTGCGCAGCAAGAAAGTTCACTGAAAATTTTCAGTGAGATAAGATTAACGGTGTGCTTTTCTGACAAGTCACCTGAAACAGAAGGGTCCTTGCTTTATGAAATGTAGATTTCAGCAGTCATAAAACTTCCAGGTATACAGAGAAGAACCTCAAGGTGGGCCACACATTTCCCGACTGAAATGCTTACAGAAAAATTGAGGTTAAATTTGTAGCAAAAAAGGAGAGCTGATCGGGTCATACAGTGTCCTATGTTTTAGGATTTTAGACTTTGACCTCTGCAGACAGTGATGTTCATCAATAAGGTATCCTGCAGATAGGATTTTTCAGAGTTGTTCAATGTATGACTGAGAATTCTGGAGAGTGGCAGGCTGGAAAAACCAGGTCTCTACATCTACAATTATGTATTATAGGTACAGAGGTTTGGGGCTAAACTTCCTTGATGGGAAACACAAAATTTTCCCACAATATCAAACTGACAGGTGAAGCCCTTGTTTATATGAACTTCCACATAAGTTAAGCTCACTTAATTGGACTGGATTGTAGCTACCTGGGCTTAACTCTCGCAAACACTTTGCAGTGATTGAATTGCGTAAGGATGTAGAATGTTTAAGTTGCTTCCATTTCAACAATTCCAAGGGAACCTCAGGTGTGTCTCCATGAGAAACTGCTTAGTATTTGTGAATATTTAGTTAACATACACAAATGAGATTTTTGGATATAAAGTGATCTTTAAAAGTGTGCACACGTGGAAATTATTTAATAATGGCATTTAGGCCTCTCAAAGAACAGCCCAACAGAACTCTGCTTTCTTTTCTCAGATTTGAAATAGTTTTAAAGTAAACAGATGCGAAGGAGCAAAGACTACACTGCAAAGCAATTTTTTTTAAAACGAACAACTTATTTAGATTTTATAAATGCTTTACATGTACTGGCACTTTTATAGAATTGCTTAATTCAACCAGGCTTCTATCATGGGTCATTCCATGTTCTTTCTGGACAGAAACTCAACTTTTTTGAGGCTGCAATTTTACTTTATGGAAAATTCCATAGGCATGGATGCCCAAATTTTCTAATTAGATCTAATTTATCTAATTAGATGAAACAACTTCAAGTAACTGGCAATTTTACCTATGCTTCATAGCCATTTTGTGTGCCATGTTTTAATAGGGCCTTTCTGGAATAAGAAAGGGTTTTTTTACCGTATTTTGCCAAACCCAAAGATTTATTCTCAAAACTTATTCTAGGATATGAGAATATTTTAAATAGCTGCATTACCATCTCATCCGAGGAGACGAACACATGAGACTAATTATGGACAAACATTTAGTGGTGAGGTTTATAGAACCAGAAAGAAAAAGGTGACCAAAGATTTGGGACTACACGAAAAAGTTTAGCGTGAAATGAACAATCACCGTCTTCAGTTTATTTAGCACGCTTGCTGTGACAAGAGCAAACAGATGAAAAGACAGGATTTTTTAAAATTCCCACTTTGACTGGATGGGAAACTGGAAAAAGATGACGGAAATATTTTACCAGAAAAACAATGCAGGCTTCAGGTGTCATTTTGGCAATGTAGTATCAAGGAAAAATGTAAGCAGCCCTGTAAGTGGTTCTTACAACATTGCTAACGTCACAATATGACACAATCGTTGAGAGCGATTCGTCCAAATTACAGTGACAATTCATTTAGCAAAGACGTACAAGAGCGACACTCCAATAGAGATTGCTATTTACTATTGATAATGTGCTTGATGTGTGGGAGAAGTGGAGCACGGCTTTTAGGGAATGTTTGAGAATGCAAATTAAGAAATGCTGATTAAGGTAATACTGCAAGAATGAAAGCACGTGAAACTCCCAAAAGTTCGGGGTTAAGCAAAGTTGGAGGTAGCATGTTTGCTTTCAACTGAGGTGTGTTTTTATATTGGAAAGTCTTCAAGGAAAAATAAAATTTCCTCAGAGCATTTTAGAGATTCTAAGGACTGTTGTGTGAAAATCTGCAAATTATGGGGGCCTTTTTTTCCCCAGGAACTGCGTAAGAGAAATAATAATCGTTATTTTAAGTATCAAGATGAAATGTTCAATACCGAACGCTGAATTTAATGACCCTCGGTGAATTTCATGGCATTCAAAATCAACTGAAAGGAACGGAGAGGTGATGCTGTGGCTAATTATTATAAATTCCCATAGTGCCAACATCAAAATTAAGCTTTTTCAATTGGCTTCATTTACTGATAGAGCTTAACACAAATTTTCACCTTAAAGAATGCTCACATTAAACCACTACCCACACTACTTATGTTGATATTCAAGTTATATCTGGGCAAAGAAGAACAAGGGACTGCATTAAAATGTTTTTTTTAAAAAACACCAAATGATAATCCATACATATGAGCAGTTAGAATATTTCATAGGCGAAAAGGAGAGGCGGATCTTGATTTAAATGGACATGGATGGGCAGGAAAATTCACAGGTGACTGTAAGTTACTATGAGAAATAATTACCATACCCCTTTTAAAGAGATCTCCCTATTAACTAAAACATACATGTAAGAATCAGTACTAACAACCATCTTACAAGAGCTACAACTACACTAATTAAGTCATAGTCCTACTATGCCCAAGTTACAAGGGACAGACGGAAATCAAAATATTTTACCATTTTAATAGTTTCCCATTCATGGGAAACAGGAAAAAATGTAATATAGAGGATCCAAAAGAGGGTGGGAATAATGGGAGGTGAGCCTATTTCACTGCTATTTGTATTATTTTTATTCAACTCTCTAGATCAGGGGTAGGTAAACTATGGCATCTTTATGACCATGGCTGGCTCAGGAATTCTGGGAGTTGAAGTCCACAGGTTGTAAAGGTACCATAACAGATCTGCCTATGCTCTAGAGACTTATTCTGGGACAGTTCTAATAACAGGCGTTTATGAGAAATATGCGGTGGGGTAGAGGAACCTTTTCTCCATGCAAATGATGATGTTACATTTAGAGATATATTTCGGTTGCTCGGTCATGCAGTACAGACATCCTGGCTCTTTTGTCACTTCAGAAACAAAACAGGAAAATCTCTTAAAAAGAGTTAACCGTATTGCTAAAAGTGAAATTAAATGGGGAACTGTTTGCTCAAAGTTCAGTGAAGCATCAGTAACTGCATCTTTAAAAGAAAGAAAGAAAAAGACTTACGCTTGGTCTTTGCTGATGGAAACGATGACACAGTCCGAAGCTCTTTCTCTGTTGTATTCCTTCTCTATCTGCTGGTAAAACTGCATGTACAATTTATCGCGATGAGCATCCTTGGTGTGGCTGTCATCTAAACATATAAGCAGATAATCAGATTGAGAATGGAAGGGATAGATAGGTAGGTAGGTAGGTAGGTAGGTAGGTAGGTAGGTAGGTAGGTAGAGATAGATAGATAGATAGATAGATAGATAGATAGATAGATAGATAGAGAGAAGATGGATGGATGGATGGATGGATGGATGGATGGATGGAGAGATAGAGAGAATAAGAGAATGTCCTTTTTGGCCACATATGTGCATCTATCATGGCAGGTGGGGAGAAGGTGGGCACACCTGTTTTTTTTTTAAATTGGTCTGGGGGGGGGCAGAAACCTCCAAGACTCAGCCAACATTTTCTGTTGTCATAATTTCTCACTATTTTGAGATGGGAAACGTACAAAAACCTCTGCAGAAGCTCTAAATGGGCTGAACTCTAATTGATTAGCAATAGGGTAGGGTAGGGTAGGACAGACAGATTAAAGCAGCAGCAAGGTTTAATACACAGGTTCTTTCTTCAGTTAGATATGGTAAATTCAGTATCTGGGCAGGATTCGGAACTGGATTATAGGTGTCTTGACTGTAGTAGCAAAAACTGTTTCCCACATTGATTTAAAAAAAAAAATGTTCTGTAAACAGCCAGCTTTAAGTGTCTTTGTTCTCAATGAAAAGACCAATAGAAGGGACTATATGTTTTTTCCCAAACGCCATCACTCTGCTAAACAAATAATTCCCTCAACACTGTCAAACTATTCACTAAGTCTGCATTACTATTACTCATCGTTCCTATCACCCATCTCCTCCCACTTATGACTGTATGACTGTAACCTTGTTGCTGGTATCCTTAAGCTTTATATTGACTGTTTCCCTATGGCTATCATTAAGTGTTGTACCTTATGATTCTTGACGAACGTATCTTTTCTTTTATGTACTCCGAGAGCGTATGCACCAAAGACAAATTCCTTGTGTGTCCAATCGCACTTGGCCAATAAAGAATTCTATAAAGTTCTATAATGAACCCAATGGGACTGAAATGCAAAACTGAAACGAAAGGAATTTGGAGGAGCAAGCACATTCTTACCGCAGCTTTAATTTCAAGTAACGCTTACCTTTCTGAAGGTACTGGTGTCTCTCGTAATTATCTTCATTCTCTGTTGATGATGGATGATACTGCTGCCCAAAAAGTTCTTCAAAGCTTTAAGCCAAAAACACACAGGAACTAGTTATCTCCCTCTTAAACAAAATATCACAACCCTCAAGTTGAACAAATGCTAAGTGTCGGTTTTGGAAGCCATTTTTTTTTTTCTTTTAGCTTCCTCTGACTGCCACATATTTTAGCCTGGGAAATTGGGATGGTTTTGTTTTTGTTTTTTGGGGTTGGAGTGGTGGAAGAATAGCCATAACAACATTCCTTGCTCTGGGAGTCAAGGACATTTGCCTGCGCTTGGATGGGAGTGACTGGGGATTGTTTCCAGTTAAGCCTGAAGGATGGATTGGACCTTGTGATGGACATGTGGGTGTTGGGACAGGGACTTGAACTTTTCTTTGGGTGGGGAAAACCACCCAAAGCTTTCAGATTCGGGTTTTCCCAGATGTGCCCACATGACATCTCTAATAAAATGGAACTTTGAGGAATCTATTGCCTTGGAGTTTTATTTCGTTGGGGGTGTTTTTTGGAACCCTGAAACTAAGAACACTGGTTTACATCAAGGAAGGCGTGGGACTGCATTGTTTTCAAGAGTACGGAATAAATTAATAATTATTTGATGCCATTCGTTATTTGCTCCATGCCGTTACTTCAGGTTATAACCAAAGTGAGCATGGAAGGGAAAAAGAGCCTTCTCACCTGTTACCATCCTCGTGATCCTTCGGATAACCTTCTGGAGGAGAGTAAGAACTCTTCTGAATGGATTTGTAAGGGTTGATGCTGGAAGGAGCAAGGAATGCGTGTTAAGGATTGCCAAAAGGATTTGAGCATGAATAAACCTTTGGGCTACATCATGGCAAGACAGCCATTTTGGGGGGATTTGGAATCCACATTTTAGACCCTGCAGAATAAGATCTGAAATATCTATTATCTGGTGAAACATTGATGGGAGACATCCGAAACAGCTTTTTTTTTTAATTTTTTTTGTTAATAAAAAATAAAAAAACACCCAAAAAAAAAAATAAACACCCCCCCCCCCCCCCCCACACACACACACTCCAATTTCAGCAAATCCCTAGAGACCTGGGATGACATGACAGCATCCAACATCACTGCATGGAAGAACTCTTTTGTTATTACAGGCCATGCTAATAGAAGAAATATGACAAATGGGGGACAAGGGCATGGTGTGAAGTGGTGGATATATTACAAGGAAAATATCTGTCATTATCTATCTATCCATCCATCCATCTCTTCTGTGTGTCTGTCTGTATCCATCCATCCATCTCTTCTATCTGTATCCCTCCATTCATCCATCCATCTCTTCTGTCTGCCTGTATCTATCCATCCATCCACCCACCCACCCACCCCTACCACCCAAGGACCTTTTATCATGCTGATAATCTGGCTTTCAATCAACCGTAGAAATGTTAACGTAATTACTTACTCCAGAAGTCGAGGAATCCACCCCGGTCTCTGCCTAGACTCAAAAAGAAAAACCAATTAATTTACATTAAAGTTAAAAGTAGTCTATGCCATTGTTAAAAATACTGATTTTTTTCTGAATGTGGACTGTATCTTAAAAAGGCTGAAGACAGAATGATCTTGGGCATTGTGAGATACACCCATAAGTTCTCACGCTGCCAGTTGATGGACCAACTACCATTTCTGAGTGGTCTTTATGGGCAGACCCAGGAAGAACACAGAGCAATGTCTCAAATGGAGACCAAGGCATTGATGACCATGAGCAAGGTCTCCCGATCAAGAAACAAGCACAATTGGTGTAAACGTAACTGCGCAAGGACCAATCGAGTGCTCCTTTGTTGGAGGTCAGTTGCTAGTGAGATGTTTTGGGGTTGCAGACTTTGCCATTTGTTGTTCTTTTCTTAGCCAGAGGCTAGTTATATTCTTCTTTGTTTTGGTTACACTGTTTTTTTATATTGTTTTGATTGACAGTGAACCATCCAAAGCCATTTGGAGTTTGGTGACATCAGATCAAACAAAAAATAACACGCTATACTTGCAGAGGGTTAAGAAAGGGCTTTTCTAACCGTGTTACAGCATTAAAAGAAAAACATAAATAAGCTGGAGTGATGATGAAAATTGCAGTGTGGTTTAATTCCTTTAAACCAAACACTGAGCAGCATTTTTAAAATCTCAAAGTCGTACAACAGATAATGAAGGTTTTTGTTCTGCCAAATTTTCCCTCCTTTCAGATCAGCTAAACAATCTAATTATTCTAAACATTAAGCTTAAGCTGCTGGCTTTGGACCCACCGAGATACGGAGAGAGAAACCAATTAAAACAAAACACACACAAAAAACCCTCAAACTAGCTGGCAGATGTAGAGTCTGGAAAGATCTGTCAAGGAGCAAAGGCAGCATAAGGATAACAGCTGCCTGGTCTTGCCTCATTTACTGTTAACTATTTCTTAGGCACAGATAAAAACTGAATTCGGTTACACTGATTAACTATGAATACGAGATGCAGCACATTAAACCCTTGAGCAAAATCTGAAGTGTGTAATGCCAACAAAGATGCAAGCACGAAACCCAAGATTGGGTTTATTACAGCCAGACACTTTTGTGGACCTAAGTACAGTTAACAGTCTCAATTCTTTACCATAAAAAAAAATCATTTGTTATACAGGTAGTCTTCAACTTATGACCACAATGGAGCCCAAAATTTATGTTGCTAAGTGAGAAATAATTTTGCCCCATTTGATGATTTCTCTTGCCGCATTTGTTAAGCGAATCACTGCAGTTGTTAAATTAGTAACACGCTTGTTAAGCGAATCTGGTTTCCTCATTGACTTTGCTTGTCAGGTCGTAAAAGTGGATCGTATGTCTCTGGGATCCTGCTGCAACAGTCGTAAATGTGAGTCAACTGTCAAATATCTAAATGTAAATCATGAGACCATGGGAATGCTGCAACGGTCATAAATGTGAAAAATGTCACTTTTTTTCCAGTACCATTGTAACTTCAAATGGTCACTAAGTGAACTGTTTTAAGTTGAGGACTACCAGTAATTGGGGTAGAAACATTCTAGATCTGACATTGTAGAGAACCTGTAGATTAACTGGTAGCACCCTCAAACAACCAGAAGATAAGATGATTTGTGTTATTTATTGCATTTATATCTCACCTGTTCTATAAAAGCTCAAGGCAACTTCTAGAAAGTCTCCTCTAACTTTATCTCAAATACAATTCTTTTGAGAACTCTTGAATTGAGTGTCACTGGTTTAAAATCAACCAGTCCGTGCCATCGTTTCTGCAGTGTTTTGTTGCTAAAGGTTTTGTTATTGGTAAGTAACAGAACAGATACTGAAGCTTAAATACTGTGGCCACCAATTGAGAAGATTCATTAGAAAAGACTTTTGATTTTAGGAAAGATTGAAGGCAAAAGGAGAAGAGGACTGCAGAGGATGAGATGGTTAGTGTCATGGACACAATGAACATGAATTTGGACAAACTCCAGGAGATACTGGAGAATGGGGGGGGGGTGCTGGCTGGCGTGCCATAATCCTTAAGGTCATGAAGAGTGGGACACAACTTAGGGACTGAACAACACAGCAACACAATTCTTTGATAACTCTTGATTCAGCTGAACAGGAATCCGGATTGAAAAGCAGAAGTGTAAGCCAATTGTTGGTACCAAATTAGAAATACCAGCTTGCTTGGGAACAGCAAACCCAGAATAATTTGTTGAGATTGGCAGCCATACAAATTGAATGAATAAATAAATAAGCAGGCAAGCAAACAAGCAAACTAAGAGGATAGGTTTAGATGTGATGCATAATTTCGTTTCTTGAAAAACAAAGAACAAATATGTAACACATAAGCACACAGACAGTTTATATGTTAGGCAGGATTAGCTGAGAATTTGGGCGTGCCATTAGCCACAAATGTAGCCACTAACCATACTTAAAGGAGGAAACCAGGATACAATGCAAATTTAAAATGCTAAATTTCACACAGAATTTTCAATGATTTAGTCAAATTATATCTTATATTACTAAATGCAAGGATCCAAGTATTTAGTTTGTATCCATCAAGTATAGGTTGCAATTTTCAAATGAAGAGTTAGTTAAGAGTTAAACTTCTGAACTGAAATTTATATATTGTAGTTTCTTTTGAGAGGGGGGGAGGGAGAGAGATTTAAAAAAAAAAAAACCAGAGGAAAAAGGACGTGGATCATTGTGTTTTTACCTTTTTTCAGGATCGGGTGTTTGCGCTTGATCTGTGGTTACTTTGGGCCATGAAGACATTTTAGTTTCTAAATTAGAAAAAGAAAATCTTATTTAAAATAAAAACAGTTTGAAAATACTTCCAGAAGAAAATTTACATCTGAAAACATTCAGAGAAATAAGCCAGTTACGTTTCCCGCCCCAAACTACTAATGCATTATTTAAAAAATGAAAGTTAAAAAGTGGAAAACGTTTGAGTCCCTTAAAAATGTTGCTTTGCTTCATGAAATTAACATGTTCGCTGGATACAAATACTTCAAACACTTCCCCTTAATTGCCCTTACGTTGTTATGGTAGAATGCCAAACAGCAACAGAGTATGGGGTTAAATGGACTAGTCCATAATTAACATTTTTTACAAGAAAAGATTTCCCACAGGACAGATAAGAAATCTGGTGCCTTCTATATATTTTACACTACCATTTCTACAATTCTTTGTCTGGGTCATAAAGTCTAAAACAACTGGGGGACATCAGGTAGAATTCTCCATTTCTGTTCTGCCACTTTTTTGTTTTTGTACCAGGTTATTAATTTTTGAGGGCATAATTATAAGGCTGATGTGACAGGTAAATTATATTTTTGCATTTCCCTTATGGTGTATTCCTAGCTTGATATATTTGGAAAGGTTGTTTGCTCTGCTCAGAAGCCATCATATCCCTTGTGCTAAATATTCTTGGCGTTACTGTAAACCCCAAAATAGATGAATGTGCAGCAAACTTAACTTTCTTCCACCTCAGTGAATTTAGAGCGCAGATAAAGGACACCCTCCACTTTCCATCAGATCAGGAACATCACAAACTGAATGTGTTTCGCTAGAGAATTTTGCCTCAGCCACATATATAATTATAGACTGCCTGTTCAACATAATTATATATAGTAGTGGAAAAGATACAATGAAATGTAAATAAAGATGACATGGTGAGAACATTTTGGATGTTTTGCAAAAACACACGAGTTGTCAGACACGTAATTCTACACGTGAAGATTCCATTAAATTGATTTATTGCTAAAAGCCTTTATAGACAAGGTTGTTCTCAGCTTCTCAACACTTGACTCTTTTCAAGCTGCTTAGAGCGTTCCTTTCCCTACAATAACCATATAATACAACCCCATCAAATATAGCAAGAAAGGCAGATTACAATGAAAATGAGGATGGGAAATCGCTACTCCTCTAGCTGAGCTTCTATCAATTTATCCTTTTCCATGGAATGAGAACCTATAGCAATGCAGATTGCATCTTGAGGGATCCTGGGTGCTCTCTGAACTTGATTGTCTTCTTGCAGACATCTCATTACCCAAACTAGGTAACATCATCAGTGCTAGTAAGGAGTGGGGTTTGCTTTCAATTTATATTCTGGTGGCTTGCCCTGTCAGTATTGGTAGAGATGGTTTTAGAGGTTCTTTGGTTGAGCTGTGTCCTGTTGGCTTGTTTGGCAATTCTTTGATAGGAGTATTGTTTACTTCAATTGTTGGTCTGATGTTAATCTTGGAGTTAACCTATGCTCCTATCACCCATCTCCTCCCACTTATGACTGTATGACTGTAACCTTGTTGCTGCTATCCTTAAGATTTATACTGACTGTTTCCTAATATGATTTGATTGCTTATTTGTTCCCTATGACTATCATTAAGTGTTGTACCTTATGATTCTTGATGAATGTGTCTTTTCTTTTATGTACACCGAGAGCATGTGCACCAAGACAAGTTCCTTGTGTGTCCAATCACACTTGGCCAATAAAGAATTTTGTTCTGTTCTAGTCTCATCTGGGTGCTGATTGCTTCCCCACCAGCAATTAGCACCCAGAGGAACATAAATTAACTCCAAGGTAACATCAGACCAACAATTGAAGTAAACAATATCTGATAAATTAAGAAATACAAGAAAAAAAATTAAGCAAATACATTAATTTTCTCTCATTAATGGTAAACAAAGTAAAAGAATACAAAGTTACATCTTTACAATTTATACCTATCAGTGTATATCTTAAAGATTAAAATTTGAGTTCTTTGTCCAGGATGCCTCTCTGTTGTTGCATTTATATGTAGCCTAGCTAACTCTCCCTCTCCCTCCCTCCCTCTATATATGTATATATGATGTGTATGCACTCTCCATACAGTTTGAATATTGTGTTTATTGAGCATGTGTATCGAAAGTGTATACACACATAACACATATACATATATGCTATCTACATACATATGTATATACCTACACCCTAACATGTAAATACATATAAATATTAATCACTGTCCATCTTGGAACACATAGCAGAAAGAGGAAGCTTGAGAGAGAAAGAGAGAGATGCACACATACAGACACACATATACAGCAAATGTTATATATATACATACACACATTCAGTAACTACAGCATACAAAGTGGAGAACTCAGACACGATTGACACATAAACACACGCACACACATTTTTTTCAATATTCCTATATGTAAACACACATGGTTGTTTTATATTCCTATAAACACACACATACATTCTTTATATCCCTATACATAAATACGTTCTCTTTTTATATATACCTATACATAAACACACACAAACATGTTCTTTTTTATATATCCCTATATGTAAACAGACACACACTTTTTATATATTCCTATACACACATTCTCTTTTGTATATATATTCCTATACATAAACAGTCTTTTTATATATCCCTATGCATAAACACGCATGTTCTTTTTTTAAATCTCTCCATATAAATCCATACATTTTTTATATATTCCTATAAACACACACACATTCTCTTTTGTATATATATATATCCCTATACGTAAACACACACACGTTCTTTTTATATATTCGTATAAACACACACACATTCTTTTATATATTCCTATACATAAACACACACAAACACATTCGGTTTTATATATCCCTATACGTAAGCACACACACATACATTATTTTTATATATTGCTATCAACACACACACCACACACACTCTTTTGTATATATATTCCTATACGTAAACACACACACACGTTCTTTTTATATATCCCTATACATAAACAAACACATTGTTTTATATATCCCTATGCATAGACACACACCGTTCTCTTTTTAAAATCTCTCTCTCCATATACACACACACACAAATTCTTTTTTATATATCCCTATAAACACACACACATTCTCTTTTGTGTGTGTGTGTGTGTGTGTGTGTGTGTGTGTGTGTGTATATATATATATACATACATACATACATACATACATACCTATACGTAAAGACACACACACACATTCTTTTATATATTCCTACACATAAACACACACAAACACATTCGGTTTTATATATCCCTATACGTAGGCACACACACATACATTATTTTTATATATTGCTATCAACACACACACACACCTCATTCTCTTTTGTATATATATATATATATATATATATATATATATATATATATATCCCTATACATAAACACACACAAACACATTCTCTTGTTTTAAAATCTCTCTCTCCATATAAACACACACACATTCTCTTTTGTGTACATATATATATATATCCCTATACGTAAGCACACACATACATTATTTTTATATATTGCTATCAACACACACACACACATTCTCATATATATATATATTATATATATATATTTATATATATATATTATATACATAAACACAACACACACACAAACATTCTCTTGTTTAAAATCTCTCTCTCCATATAAACACACACACATTCTCTTTTGTGTGTGTATATATATATATCCCTATACGTAAACACACAAATTCGGTCACTAAGCCCTTCTTTCTATTCTAGGCCGACTCCCTTGGCGAGGCCTGTTTCCTCTCCCCCCCCCCCCACCCGCCGCCAGCTCGCCCCCTCCAGCCACCCGCCCCCCCCCCACTCCGGCCTTCCCTCCCAGGCGCTCCTACCTGCCCAGAGCCCACCCACCCACGCACCCCTTCCTCCCTTCGGGACCCCGGCCGCCCCTTCCTCGCCGCTCACCCGCTCGGGCTGCCCAGGCGCCCCTCCGCCCCGCGAGACAGGCCGGCCTCCTCGCTCTCCTCACGGAGCGGCTGCGACCCTGAGGAAGGGGCGGGCGGAGGGCGGGCGGTAAAGGGGGCAGCCGGTCCCGCCCACTGGGGCTCCTCCTCTTCCGGGAAGCGGCGAGTCCCGCCCCCTTGCCCCCCACTTCCACTCCCACCACGCCCAGCGGCCTAGCGAGGCCTAGCAGGCCCGGCGCGGTTTCCAAGGCAACGGCGGCTGGCTTTTACCGAGGCGATAGGGATGTCGGGAATTGTAGTTCGAATTTTCCAACCTAGCTTCTTCCCTGGGAGGGGAATGACGTCACGTGGAGCCGAGAGGAATTAGGCAGCCGGTGGGGTCGTGCGTTGGGGGGGGGGGGCGGCTGCAAAATAAATAAATAAATGAATAAATAAATAAATAAATAAATAAATAAATAAATAAATAAATAAATAAATAAATAGCTAGCTAGCTATCTAGCCCTGGGAAATTCTTAAAATTGGCAAGTAAGAAAAGCATTAAAAGTATCTTAAAGCATGTTGGGGGGATGGGGGGGGGGTCAAGAGGCTGACTCTGTAAACCGCTTAGAGAGGGCTGGAAAAGCACCATGAAGCGGTATATGAGTCTTAAGGGTTTATTGCTATTGCTATTATTAACCACCCTAGGAGCCTTTGGGGATATAGAGGACGTTCATCCTTCGTTCACTCATGTTTCAACAGGGTAGTGTTAGTACATTTATGGCAGCCCGATCTCTGCACATCAGAAAAAGATGTGGAAGGAAGGGGGGAGGGAGATGGAAAGAGGGGAGGGAGGAAGGAAGGAAGGAAGGAAGGAAGGAAAGAAGGAAGGAAGGAAGGGAGGGAGGGAGGGAAGAGATGGAAAGAGGGAGGGAAGAAGATGGAAGGAGGGAGGGAAATGGAAAGAGGGGAGGGAGGGAGAAGGAAGAAGGGAGGGAGAGGGAAAGAGGGGAGGGAGGAAGGAAGGAAGGGAGGGAGGGAGGAGATGGAAAGAGGGAGGGAGGAAGATGGAAGGAGGAAGATGGAAGGAGGGAGGGAGATGGAAAGTGGGGAGGGAGAGAGAGGGAAGGAGGGAGGGATAGGGAAAGAGGGGAGGGAGGAAGGAAGGAAGGAAGGAAGGAAGGAAGGAAGGAAGAAAGAAAGAAAGAAAGAAAGAAAGAAAGAAAGAAAGAAAGAAAGAAAGAAAGAAAGAAAGAAAGAAAGAAAGATTGTTAAACTGTTTCAAATGTTCCTAAAATCTTGGAGGACACGTAGAACCAAGCAGGATAGGGAGCGGGGGGGGGGAAAGAGCGTACAAGCTGCGCGTGCGCGTTCCTCTTTGCCCTCCCTTCAGCCTCCTCCAGCTTCTTGCCCACAAGGGGGTGCACCCAATGAACCAAAGGCTTGTTGATCGACGGGCGGAGTCTGGGAGAAGCCTGCCCAATGGGAAGCGCCGATGATGCGAGGGCGGCGAAGGAAGTGCTCACGTCGCGGGATAGAGCGCCGGAGGAGGGAAGCTCCCGGCTTTGCGAGGCGGTGGGCGGCCAGTCTCGGAGCGGTCTCTCCCCTTTCATCCGGAGCGATGAATTCGCTGGAACAAGCGGAAGGTAAGGCAGGGGAAGATGGGTCCGAACATCCCCGCTTCGTTCCAGGACTGGTTTGTGTCGTTATCCCACATCCTTCACCCCAAGGCTCCCCCCGCCTTCCCCAACCTGGCGCCCCCCGGATCTGCTGAACTGTCATTCTCTAATGTCTGTCTGTCTATCATCTATCATTTGTCTATCTATCTATCTATCTATCTATCTATCTATCTATCTATCTATCTCATCTGTATATCTATCTGTATTATCATCTTTCTGTCATCTATCATCTAGCTAGCTATCTGTCTGTCTGTCTATCTATCTCATCTGTCTATCATCTATCATTTGTCTATCATCTATCAATCATCTGTCTATCATCTATCTATCATCTATCTGTCATCTATCATCTTTCCATCTATCATCTATCTATCTATCTATCTATCTCATCTGTCTATCATCTGTTTATCATCTATCTTATCTATATCTGTCTATCTATCAATCTATCTATCTCATCTGTCTATCTGTATTATCATCTTTCTGTTCATCTATCATCTATCTATCTATCTATCTATCTCATCTGTCTATCATCTATCATTTGTCTATCATCTATCATTTGTCTATCATCTATCAATCATCTGTCTATCATCTATCTATCATCTGTCTATCATCTGTCTATCATCTGTCTATCATATCATGTCTATCATCTATCTGTCTATCTATCATCTTTCTATCTATCATCTATCTATCAATCTATCTATCTCATCTGTCTATCTATCTGTATTGTCATCTTTCTGTCATCTATCATCTATCTATCTATCTCATCTGTCTATCATCTGTTTATCATCTATCTATCTATATCTGTCTATCTATCAATCTATCTATCTCATCTGTCTATCTGTATTATCATCTTTCTGTCATCTATCATCTATCTATCTATCTATCTATCTCATCTGTCTATCATCTATCATCTGTCTATCATCTTTCTATCTGTCATCTATCATCTATCTATCTCATCTGTCTATCGTTTATCATCTATCTATCATCTGTTTATCATCTATCTATCTATATCTGTCTATCTATCTATCTATCTATCTATCTATCTATCTATCTATCTCATCTATTATCCATCCATCTATCTATCTTTGCAATAAATTAGAGAATGACAGTTCAGCAGATATATAGGCTGTGTGCTGGCTGCAGTTCACAGAATAGAATAGAATTCTTTATTGGCCAAGTGTGATTGGACACACAAGGAATTTGTCTTTGGTGCATACGCTCTCAGTGTACATAAAAAGAAAAGATACATTTGTCAAGAATCATAAGGTACAACACTTAATTATAGTGATAGGGTACAAATAAGCAATCAGGAAACAATATAAATTGTAAGGATACAAGCAACAAAGTTACAGTCATGCAGTCATAGTGGGAGGAGGTCTAGTTCATTCCCCCGCCAACTTGCTCGGTGAGCCTGTAAGGAGAGGACAGATAAATGGCAATTATTTGGACCATTGTGGTGGTTGATAGATTAATAACAGATCCCACCACAACCACCCCACTCATCCTACTCCCTCCCTCTCCACCTTTTGGTCAGGGTTGAGCACATACATTGAATGCTTCTGTACAAGAGACAAATTTCTTGCCTGTCTAATCACACTTGGCCAATAAAGTATTCAATTTAGGATTACCGGCACTGGATGAGATTGTATTATGTGCCTGTGTCATCCTCATCCAATTTTACAAAAAAAGTGTTTATTGGTACGACAGACAAAACGCAGCTAGAATGAAGAAAAAAACACTGCAGAGATTTATCCAGGTAGGACCAGAAGTCAGCCCTAACTTAAAAGCACACAAATGTCCTTTGTAGTCATCACGTCGTAAAGGATTTTCTATGGTTTCAAGGTACTAAATCTAAATTCTAAATCAGGCTTTGGCTAATCCGGTTATCCCTTCTCGTTTTTAGATCTCAAGGCTTTTGAAAGAAGGCTAACTGAATACATAGCTTGTTTACAGCCAGCTACTGGACGCTGGAGAAGTAAGTGACAGGCCTGCCTCCCAATTATTAAATGCTTGATCAAATTGTTGCTATCTGTGTCTTTTAAGAAACTCATTTTGAAAAGCTAGGTGATGGAAATCTGCATTATTATCTGCATTAATAAAGTATATTATAATGACCGTGCTTGCAGTTTACAATAAGGGTGATTTCCTAAATGCTGGAAGTGTGACCAAATACCGGGCACCTACTACCATATGTGGTGGACATGTAGAAGAGCAAAAGGATACTGGCAAAAGATTTGAATGTGGTTGGAAGAAATGACCAGGCAGAGATTGGAACTCTAAACCAGAATTATTCCTATTAGGAATTATAGAAGAAGGTCTAAGTCAGGGGTCTGCAACCTTAACACTCAAAGAGCCATTTGGACCAGTTTCCCACAGAAAAGAAAACACCAGGAGCCACAAAACCCTTCCTGTGCCTGACTATTTCTTGAGCGGCCACAAAACTAGCATATGTAGTTGAATTAAACATTCTGTTTTCTTCTGAAACTTTTCTTTTCTTGGATTTATCCATGGTTGGCCTACCGGGGTTGAAAAGCTCAATAAATTGTGTACCAGCGGGTGTTGCACATTGGCGGTTGTGACGCATAATTTGAGTGACAGGGAGCCGCAGCAGAGGGTGAAAGAGCCACATGCAGCTCCAGAGCCGCAGGTTGCTGACCCCTGATCTAAGTAAAGGGTTAACCTATTTAATATTGCATATCATAACAGCGGCGAGAATAGTTTATGCCCAACAGTGGAAGAGTGAAAAATACCTAAAGAAAGAGAAATAATACAATAAGGGTGATTTTTGCTTAACAATCCTGCAAAAAAAAAAAAAAAAGTAGTTAAAAACCCGGATCCGTTATGGGGTGCTTTACAAATTTCACAATTTAAGACCGTAATTGGCAGGGTCCTTTTTGATTGTTAAGTCAAGTTGTTACGGTTTGTTCCCGATGTATTGAATGTAATGACCTCATTTTTGTCCTTTTGATTTTCCTCCAGTAATTCTTATAGTGGTATCAGTCTGTACAGCCACTGGTGCTTGGAACTGGTTAATAGATCCCGAAACACAGAAGGTGGGTGAACTCCTAAGCGTTTTTTTTTTAATTTGCCCTATAGATTCATGGAAGTTATTTAGGATATTTTAGCAAGTATTGTAGGACATCTGGAAAATTGCTACGTTTCTCCTCTAACAATATCTTAGAGAGGTGTCATTACCGTCAATGTAGCACTTTCGTTTCTCAAAATAGAATCTCCATGCTGCACAGTCTAGAACCGTGACAGCGAATCTATGGCACGCGTGCCAGAAGTGGCACACAGAGCCATCCCTCCAGGCACCCCAGCCATCATCCTTTGGTCTTCTGGGTTCTGGTGCACACATGCATGCCGGCCAGCTGGTCTTTGCCTCTGCGGGAACGCCAGAAACCGGAAGAGCAGCTCCCTGGCACGCATGCACGCACCTTTTGTGGCCCGGATTGTGCAGATTGTAACTGATTCTGACAGCCTGTGCAGCTGGCACTCAAGTCAGACAATGAGGAGGTTGGAGAAGATGTGGTGCCAGAGGCGGGGATTCAGCCAGGGCCTTCCGAACCTCCAGAAGCTCCCTTAAGTGAAGAGGATGAAGAGGAGGAGCCTCTTCTTGATGCACGGGCCCGCAGAGCTGCCAAAAGGCAGGAGTGGCTCCTCAGGAGGAGGTCTCCTCGAGAGTAAGGCTTGGGGCTAATTAGCCACTCCCTTAGCCTATTTAAAGAGGAACGCCGACTGAAGCAATTTGTAGGGAACAACTTTAGTTCATTCTCCTTCGTGTCTGGATTCTCTGCAAATTGCTTCTGGGCTTTCTGCCAACCTTAGTAAGATTGTAATTACTTAATCTTTGGTTTCTTGTAGGCTGTTAAGACAGTTTATTAACAGCCTTTGTTTGGAAAAGACTGAGTTATTTTAGTAAATTTAAGTTTTGTACAGACTTTGTGTGTGCTGTGTTCTTTGGGGTCCGTAGCTAGGGCAGAACAGCGCCAGGAAGCTGAGCTTCTGGTTTCCAATGCGTGCATGCGCTGGCCAAATGGCCAGGTGACCAGCGCACATGTGCTTGCCGGAAACCGGAAGCTCAGCTTCCTGGCACACACATGCACGCCAGGGAACTGCTCTTCCGGTTTCCGGCACTCCCCCATGCCTGCGCGCTCCTGTTTCGGTACCCGATGCCGAAAAGATTCGCCAACACTGTTCTAGAAGCACGTCTAGAACAACATCGGGGAATTGTCTATTTGTGATTACATCATAATTTGGGGTCTTTTAGATTAGATTTCAGAAGCGAAGAACTAGAATCTGTCTACCTTCAAAAAAAATTATAATCTCGGATTGCTAATCCCTATACCGTAGTAGCAGAGAAAATTTAGAAATTAGGGCTTACTGCTTTTTGCTAAGAATTTGCTTAGAAGGAAATCGAAAGTGCAGGAGGGATTTTCACTTCCTTGCAGTTTGTGTGGGTTCTGCTTTTCAGTTTTGTCTTCACTCATCCAATGTAAGAGTGCTTATTTTTTAAAAAATAAATAAATAAAAATAAGTCATTTGATTCTCTCCTAGGTATCTTTTTTCACATCTCTATGGAATCATCCATTCTTCACCATTAGCTGTATCACATTAATTGGTTTATTTTTTGCTGGAATACATAAAAGAGTAGTGGCGCCCTCAATGTATCCTTTTCCAAGGGTTTTATGCAGTTACCAGGTGAATGTGTGCAATACATGGCTATTTAATACAGGTAGTCCTCTACTTACAACAGTTCGTTTAGTGACCATTCAAAGTTAACAACAGCACTGAAAAAAGTGACTTACGACCGTTTTGCAGTTACAACCTTTCCAACCTCCCCATGATCATGTGATCAAAATGCAAATGCTTGGCAACCGGTTCATACTTATGACCGTTGCTGTGTCCCAAGGTCAGGGGATCCCCTTTTGCGACCTTCTGACAAGCAAAGTCAAAGGGGAAGCCAGGTTCGCATAACAACTGGGTTACTAGCTTATCAACTGTGGTGATTCACTTAACAGCCGAGGCGAGAAAGGTCGTAAAATGGGGCAAAGTTCACTTAACAAATGGCTCAGTTAACAACAGAAATGTTGGACTCAATTGTGGTCATAAATTGAGGACTGCCTGTATGCTGTTTAGCCATATTTACAGGAGAGTAATTTAAAGTGTGAGAAGCTCTTAACTCTAGCGTAGGTTTTGTCCCAGACTAAAACTTTCCCCTCTTAAAAAGCCACAGAAAAGGAGAATAGAATAGAATAGAATAGAATAGAATAGAATAGAATAGAATAGAATAGAATAGAATAGAATAGAATAGAATAGAATTCTTTATTGGCCAAGTGTGATTGGACACACAAGGAACTTGTCTTGGTGCATACGCTCTCAGTGTACATAAAAAGACAAGATACATTCGTCAAGAATCATAAGATACAACACTTAATGATAGCCATAGGGTACAAATAAGCAATCAAATCATACTAGGAAACAATACCAATATAAATCGTAATATAGAATATAGCTTTGTGCCCTTTCTGGATATAGAAAGGCAGTAGAATCTCATTTGATTTTTATATATGCATATATATATATATAATTTGTCTCTGATGAGCATTTTTTAAAGGACAATCGAGCAGTTGGAAGGAAAATTAAATATTTGGTGAGATGTTCAGAAATATTTTTTTTCAATCAGTTTGCTAAGTGGATTAGGAAAGCAGGCCCACTGACTATGCAGAAAGCATGTTTCTTTGACGCCCTCTTCAGCATAGCCGCTCGATGTCGAACTGTTTTGGCAGAATACAACATGTCGTGCGATGATGTAAGTGACTCTGTTTTTCCTTGGATAACTACGTTGAGTTTTGACATTGGAAATGAAACTTCTGGTGGGAGGGAGCTGCTGGTTTAGTTTAGTTTATTTATTGTCATTGCACCTCGTGCAACAAAATTAAACGCCATCTTCAAGGTTCTTTATACATAAAAAATAAAACAAAAGCATACATCCTTCACATTCTATACAACTGAATTAAAAACCCCTGATATTGCATTAATATTGCACTATACAGTAGAATTCAATATAGCTACTGCCCTGGGATAGAAACTGTTTTTCAGCCTATTTGTCCTTGTTTTTATTATCCTATACGTCTGCCAGATGGTAATAGTTCAAAAAAAAGGGTGCCCAGGATGAGATGGATTTTTAAGAATGTTTTGAACTTTCTTAAGGCAGCGGGAGCTATAAAGCTCTTCCAAAGAGGGGAGAGGGCAATCAATGATCCTCTGGGCAATGACGTTGACCCTCTGGAGCGCTGTCCTATCTGCCACTGTGCAATTGGCAAACCATACACAGGCGCAGTTAGTGAAAATACTCTCTATGGTGCAGTGGTAGAAGGTCACCAGCAGTTTTTCCTTCAGTTGTTGTTTCCTGAGAAGTCTCAGGTAGTATAATCTCTGCTGGGCCTTATCTTACCATTTAAGGCTGGTTGTTGTTTTTCCCCCCTCACAGACTGGAAAATTAATCTTGAAACCTCGGCTCCACGTCCAATAACCCATCGCTTCTGTGTTGAGGATCGTGGAATTACACCATTTTCTTTCTTCACTACAACGAGGCCAAAAGGGACCGAGAAACAGGTTTTGTCTTCAACCTTTGATGGAAAGCGGGTGAAACATCTGGCGTCTCCCCATCTTTTCTGCCCGAACTCTGTGTTAATCCATTTCTCCTAGGACAGTATTACCGTTTCCTCATCTCTAATGGCGAGGGGGGGGGCAAGGCAGCCCCTCCAGAAACTCGTCTGCATCGACAATACGCAAGTCATTGTAAATAGAAAAAAACGGCTACAGTGTTTGTACTGCCATTCGCCACAGCGTTGTTTTTTAAACCGGTGTGTCTGTTTGTAGATCGCGAGCCCTTTACCCTCTTCCACGTCTGCGATCCCGACTTGTTGACAGATCACATCCAGAGGTCGTCCGTGGTTTATTCGACCCATGAGTGGGTTGACACATTGCCTAATGTTTCATTGCAATTGGCTCCTCCTTTCTGACGGCAGCAACCTCAGTCGCCTGGAACTTATCAGCAGAACGTTTTAGAGTAACGTCCAAGTCGTGACTTTTGAGTTAGCTGCTTCCCGCAGTTCTGCAGAGGTGCTATACGGTGTAAAAGTTGGTTTCCTTTTTGGCTCTTCTTTGGACCCAGAGCCTCGAGTCACATTTTGCATTTTCTTGCTAATGATTATAAAATGTAAGCAGAGGAAAAACGACGGAACATCGCACACAAAATACTTGGTCAGGATCAAGAAGCTAATTTTTTTAAGTCCCTAGTTTTCCGCTTTGTGCAACCTGTGATCTGCTCTGTTATCCACAGCTTGCTGTTTTTTTTGGCTCTTCCTCTCCCGAATTGTCCTTTTTTTTTCTTTTCCTTTCTGCATAAAAAACAACAACAATGTATTGGATTTGAAATTGACGGCGGGAGAATTCCACCGTGAAATTATAGTATTGCTGGACTTGATGCAATGTTCTTTATTATTACTTGACGAAAAGAAGTGCCAGAAATGTAACTGAACCATTTTGCTGTTCTTTTTGGGTTTCGTTTTCACCCGGTGCATTGCAGGACGCCCTCAACTGACCTAACAGAATTGAAGAATTTTCTGTATTTGCAGTAGCCATTTACAAAACCTTGTCTAGCGATGACTGCAAATGTGACTCCACACTAGAAGTGGAAACAGCATCATGGAAACTCATACAAGATGCTCTCAAACCATAGTGCTCGGTGTTGATCATGGTTTAATTTTAGTAGAAGTACTGGAGACATGAAGCTTCCACTCTGATGTTGGAAGTGGTCTCTTCGGTTGTATTTTTCACCAAAAATACCTGCTTAAGGAAAAGGTTTTGTACCCGCAAGGTCAGATTCTAAATTGCTTAGTGACTCTAGTGTTTCTCCATATAGGAAGTTTCTTAAAATAACTCTTTTTTTTTTTACAAACTATTTTAATTGCCCTTGTTACACGGAAGTGTTAAAATAAAATTTAAAAATGTGGCTGTTACCCACAGTGTGACTTTTAAAATACCGACCCAGGAATTTAATTTTAAATCCATGCGCCTTTTTTTAAAAAAACGTACAAGCTATTTTAATAAGTGCATTGCTCTTTTAAGATGCAGCTGAGACCAAAAGGATCCTCAACCATGCAAGAATTTATAGGGGAAGAAATCTCTTGGATTTAGTAATGATGAACATCGAAGTCTGATTTTTCTTCTTTTGCTCTCGGAAGTGTCTATTCCTTACATCACCGTGGTTTTTAAGCAGCTGTACATTTTTTGTAGGACTTGCCTTTTAAATAAATATTTTATTGTTTGATCTTTTTTAAAAAATGCAAGAGTGTTGGAAGTAAAACCTCTGAAATCATTAACTTCTGAAAAAATTGCAAACTATCGTGGTTTTCTGCAATAAAAAATGCTTGAAACCAACCAGTGGTTGGGTCTCCGTAATAGTTCTACAAATAGGCATGCTGCATGAATTTATAGCAAGAAATCTTAAAAGTAAGAGTGTATTGATTTATACGTTTTCCTATTTGTTGTAAAATGACTTATAATCAGGAATAACATGGTAGCATTTTGTCACCAAATATACATATATATAGGTACCCCGTTTCGCGGCACTAGGGATTCGAACTACTGAACTGCCGAATTTTTGATCGGCAAGCTCAGCATCTTAGCCACTGAGCCACCGCATCCATCACATATGTATGAATATATGTATGTGTGTGTGTGTGTGTGTGTGTATATGTGTGTGTTAAAAGGAATAAATTAAAAATAAATTTATTTATTAAATAAAATAAATTAAAAGGAATTAAAAGGAATAAATATTTGACGTTTACAGGGAGGAGTCACAAAATATGGGTGTGTCTGGCTGAAGAGGTTCAAAAAAACCGAAATAGTGCTATCCCAGTCTCCCATAAGTCTCAGAATAAACAACATAAAATGTCTGACAGGCCTGAAAGTGATGATTGGCGATTTCATCCCACCATGGCCATTTAACATCTTTTATCAACATAGGAAAAACCCTGATTACAAAAATATCACATATATGTGTGTGTGTATATATATATATATGTGTGTGTGTGTGTGTGTGTGTATATACATATATATACACATACATACATACACATACATACATACATACATACATACATTCTGCACCTGGGAGCTCTGTCTTAAAATCTAAGGAATCATTGTAGCTTATCGACTTAAGGCAAAATTTGATGGGAAAGAATGAAAATTAGCAATCTAGTGGTACTAAAATAATATGTATTGGATGTACATCCGGCTGTTAAAACTTCCAATAAACGTCAGCAGCGGAAGTGGTCCCTCCATCCGTCCCCTCCCCTCCCACTGGTCTCACGGACTAGTCTGGACCTGTCCGACCTATTTAACCTATGAGAAAAAAGGATCCTTTCCATTAAACAGGTTACTTTAGACCCCACTGCAGCTTTGTACTCTGAACAAGAGCTAAAATAACCTACCGACAAGGAGGATTTTAATAGTAACTATATGGATTATATGGGAGATGAAACTCGATCGAGATGAGATACTGGATAACTTGGACGAAAATTTGGCGGGCACCCATCTCTGTAATGGAGAAACTTTTCATCTTCTTTCCCATCCTCTCTATAGAGGGGCTGCTCACCACAATCCGGTATGAAAGACCTTTGTTTTATCATTTTAGGCAAGATTAACTTGCATTTATTATCCAAGGGTTAAATATTATACAATAGAAATGTATATCTGATTCTGGGCACTTTTACCGTATGTATTTTAAGATACGGTTGAATATAGGTGAGTCTTTAATCTTTCATGATTTCAGAAAAAAAGATAGTTGAAATGTGGAGATTTCAAAATATAATAGGTTAAAAAGAAGGCCTTCCTATTAGGTAGGCAGAAGAATTTGGCGGGATTTCTACCAAACGTAGAATGATTATTAAAAAAAAGTTTGTAGCTAAAACAGCTCGAAACAGAGGAGGCTTTGATTACAGCTGATTTGTGAGTAGAAAAAAAAATCTAAGCAGGATTTATAATTTGTGTTATAAATTGCCAATAACTGGAATGTACTGTTAATTTTAATTTTTTAAAAAAATCCAACTAAATAAGTCAAGCGACTGAGCGTGCTTTTTTCAAAGCATCTTATAGTGGTCTAGCAATGAAGGGAAATCTTTTCTCAATTTACAATTCTGAAAATAGTTTGGAAGTTAGGGGTCCCTGATGTTCTCTGAGCTTGCTTATTTTCTTGCAAAAAAAATACCCAAACTAGGTAATATCATCAGTGCTACTAAGAAGTGGAGATTTGCTGTTTATATTCGAGTGGTTTGCCCTGGGGTGGTCTTAGAGGTTTTTCAGTTGGGCTGTTTACTATTGGCTTCTTTTAAACAAGGAAACTCTAAACACTTCTAAATCCATTCCTTAACTAACACTGATGATGTTACCTAGTTTGTAATGAAACATCTTCAAGGAAACCACCGTGCTCAGAGAGAACCAAGGACACCAAAATCTTACTCCACCTCTCTGCAAACCCCTCTCCCTTCTAGCACCTCGTTTAGTAATGAAACGTCTGCAAGAAAACAAGCTCAGAGAACACCAAGGACGCCGAAGTCTTCCTCCTCCTCCTCTCTGAAAACCCTCTCTCCCTTCAAACACTGGGGATGTTACCTAGTTTGGTAATGAAATGTTTGCAAGAAAACCCACCTATTCTATTCTATTCTATTCTATTCTATTCTATTCTATTCTATTCTATTCTATTCTCTATTTATTCCAGTCTCCTATTCTATTCTATTCTATTCTATTCTATTCTATTCTATTCTAATTTATTCCAGTCTCCTATTCTATTCTATATTCTATTCTACTCTACTCTATTCCCCATCCTTCTATTCTATTCTATTCTGTTCCATATTCTATCTATTCTCTATTTATTCCAGTCTCCTATTCTATTCTATATTCTATTTTCTCTATTCCCCATCCTTCTATTCTATTCCATATTCTCTTCTCTTCTCTTCTCTTCTCTTCTCTTCTTTCTATTCTACTCTATTCTCTATTTATTCCAGTCTCCTATTCTATTCTATTCTATTCTATTCTATTCTACTCTGCTCTATTCCCCATCCTTCTATTCTATTCCATATTCTATTCTATTCTATTCTATTCTCTATTTATTCCAGTCTCCTATGCTATTGTCTTCTCTTCTCCTCTACTCCCCATCCTTCTATTCTATTCTATTCTATTCTATTCTATTCTATTCTATTCTATTCTATTCTATTCTATTCTATTCTATTCTATTCTATTCTATTCTATCCCTATCCCATCCCAATCTATTATTATTATTATTCCACTCTATCCTTTAGATGGCTGCGGCAACCCGGCCGCCTCTCCCAGCCCGGGGGAAAAAAGGGGGGGGGGGGGGGGGAAGAGCTCCGTAGAGACCCCGGCCCCTCCCACCCCCTCCCTCCCACCCCCTTCCGCAAGCCACGCCCCCTTCCTTCTCCGCCTGCGTCCGGGGCGGGGGGGGGAGGGGGGAGAGCGGCGCCTGCGCCCCAGCAGCGCACGTGGGGCGGTGTGGGGGGGGTGGGAAGGCCGGCTGGGCAGCCCTCGGCGGGTCTCTTCCGTGGAGGATCGCTCCGTTGGGCTGCCATGGGCAAGGCCAAGGCCCGTCGCTTTCGCCCGCCGCCTTTCGCTCCGGACGGCAGCCTGAGCGAGCAAGCGGCCGAAGGAGCCGAAGAAGCGGGAGGAGGAGAGGAAAACTCTCCGGCCGCCGAGCTGCTGGAGAAGGCAAGGCAGAGGGACGCGCCGTGGGGAAAGCCACGTTTTTTTTGTTTGTTTTTTACCGCTACCGGTTCTGTGGCCGTGGCTTGGTGGGTGTAGCAGGGGAAAGGAGGCTGCAAAGTCCCCATTCCCACCCCACTCCTGGGGGAAGGATATTGTAAAATCTCCATTCCCATCCACTCCAGGGGAAGGATACTGCAAAATCCCCATTCCCATCCACTCCAGGGGAAGGATACTGCAAAATCCCCATTCCCATCCACTCCAGGGGAAGGATACTGCAAAATCCCCATTCCCATCCACTCCAGGGAAAGGATACTGCAAAATCCCCATTCCCACTCCATTCCAGGGGGAAGGATACTGCAAAATCCCCATTCCCACCCACTCCTGGGGGAAGGGTATTGTAAAATCCCCATTCCCACCCACTCCTGGGGGAAGGGTATTGTAAAATCCCCATTCCCGCCAACTCCAGGGGAAGGATACTGCAAAATCCCCATTCCCACCCACTCCAGGGGAAGGAGGCTGCAAAATCCCCATTTCCTCCCCACTCCAGGAGAAGGATGCTGTAAAATCCCCATTTCCTCCCCACTCCAGGGGAAGGATGCTGCAAAATCCCCATTCCCACCCACTCCAGGGGAAGGAGGCTGCAAAATCCCCGTTCCCATCCCACTCCAGGGGAAGGATACTGCAAAATCCCCATTCCCACCCACTCCTGGGGGAAGGGTATTGTAAAATCCCCATTCCCGCCAACTCCAGGGGAAGGATACTGCAAAATCTCCATTCCCACCCACTCCAGGGGAAGGATACTGCAAAATCCCCATTCCCGCCAACTCCAGGGGAAGGATACTGCAAAATCCCCATTCCCACCCACTCCAGGGGAAGGTTACTGCAAAATCCCCATTCCCCCCCACTCCAGGGGAAGGATACTGCAAAATCCCCATTCCCACCCCACTCCAGGGGAAGGATACTGCAAAATCCCCATTCCCACCCCACTCCTGGGGGAAGGATATTGTAAAATCTCCATTCCCACTCCACTCTGGGGCCAGCCAGAGTTGGTAATTGCCGGTTCTCCGAACTACTCAAAATTTCCGCTACCGGTTCTCCAGAACCTGTCAGAACCTGCTGGATTTCACCTCCTGGGGATGTGCCTCCTGCCCGAGTTGCCAATGGGTGGGGAGTAACCGTAATGGAGTTGGAAGGGACCTTGGAGGTCATCTAGTCCAACCCCCTGCTCACGCAGGAGACCTTGTACTAGGGATTCGAACCGCCGACCGTTCTGATCGACAAGCTCTCAGCATCTTAGCCACTGAGCCACGTGGGGAGGAGATGGGGGATGCCTCCAGAAATCACGGGCTGGACTAGAAGACCTCCAAGGTCCCTTTTAGCTCTGTTCTATGCTAATCTAACCTGGGGAAGGGCCTGGCATCGGGGAGAGAGGAGGAGGAGATGGGGGAAGCCGGCCTTACCTCCAGAAATCGCAGCCTCTCCATCACCGGAGGTTTTTTAAAGAAGAGACTGGACAGTCGCTTGTCTGAGATGTGGAATAAGGTTCTCCTGCTGGAGAAGGGGGCTGGACTAGAAGACCTCCAGGGTCCCTTCCTCCCAGCTCCATGTGGGGGAAGGGTCAGGCATCAGGGGGAGAGAGAGAGGAGGGGGCTGCAGTAA